TGAAACCTAAAGAACAAGATACCCAAATTAATTCCGTTGATCTTCTACAATCAGACCGGGTACGACAATCATTACAAACATGGGAGTGAGTGGAGCACAGATTACTTACATACCCCAAAACGAAGAATTATACATTCACAAACATTGTTGCGGTTGGTGAATTTAAAGGGGAGGAGGGGAAGATGTAGACAATGTACCGGGACTCGCGCTTTATTGACAGCCTGGCATTGATAAAAGCAATTGTTCTTGTACTTGTAGAGAATAACACAGCCGTCGCATTTCCAAACACACAGAAAGTGTTTGGAGAAATCAGGAATTCTAATGCAATTTTTATGTAACAATTTTTTCATTGGCTAAAAGTTACCATCAAATCCACAGTTTACATGGCGTAACTAAGGATGGAACCCGCCATTTTGAATTGCTTGGATCAATTACTATCAATAACTACAATATTATCGAAAATAAAACAACATCTACCTCAAAATCGCCGTTTTGATATGATTTTATCCAAAGTTTAATCGTAGAATTAACGTAATGACCTACAGTTTGTAAGTTTTCATTTGTATGACCATTTTCCGGATTTAGTTTTATTGTAAATTCCGGGTAACGGGAAATTTCTCCAAGCACTTTCTGTGTGTTTGGAAATACGACGGTTGGGTTATTTTCTGTAGACTTGCTTTCATAAATGACTGGCTGTTAATAAAGCGTTATGCCGGTACACTGTCTGCATCTTCCCCTCCTCATCCCCTTTTTGCTCTGCGACACTTTTTGTAAAACGAAATATATTTTTTGTTTGTTTTTGGGTATGTAAGTAATCTGTGATCTACTAACTCACATGTTTTCAATGAAGCGGTAGCTTTCGTACCCGGCCATGTTGTAGAAGATCACCAGAATGAATTCAGGTGCCTTGTATTTTAAGTTTCACTTAAAAAACTTTCACAGTGAACTGTGCCTTTGTAAACCCCGGTATGTTGACAGTTATCTTTCACTTTGTCATCTCCTAGTTTTTCTCAACATTCTTTGCCTGGTAAAACGCTTGTTTAATCTCTTTCGACATCTCCATGGACATTATTATTATTTTTCTGGTACAGAGCTCAAAAATCTTCTTTAAATATATTCATAAGGATCTCGGCCACATCATCCCTCTATTTCTACATTGTACATGTTGAATAACAAACTGATATCTAGTCAACACCCTGTCGTCACAGTAATTTATGCAATAGAAAAAGGACGGTGTGTGCTTTTGGTAGGGTTTGGGGTCTGGTTTGCAGTCATACATTCGTCACCAGTAACTCATAATGTCTTCGACCGGGATTTTACTCTTTCATTGACTTTTTTACAGTCTTGAATTTTTTTTTATCTACTAATCCTCACAATGTTTTCGACTTGACGTCTTCAGTATAGCACTCAAATTCTACGTACACTACGAAATAATTAAATCTTCATTGATCTCATACGGTTTTGAAAATCTTGGCATCGTTACTTTCGTTGTCATCTTTTTTATTTTTGCTGAGATAGGGTTTGTTTTCTTTGGAAGTGATTAAAAGAGAGGTGAAAAATACCAAAGGGATATATATACAAATAAGTCGAAAATAAACTGGCAATGCCATGGCAAAACACAAAATATGAGCAGGACACAATACACAACATAGAAAACTAAAGACTGATAAAAAAGAACCCGACCAAAAACGAGGGGAAATCTCGGGTGCTTTGGAAGGGTAAGCATCTCCTGCTCCACATTTAACATCCGTCGTGTTACTCCTATAAAATATTTTCATTGACTATATCAAGTGATTCTGTAGCACACGTTAGTTGATTCAATTTGGTAATTGACAGTTATCTAACCCTACGACAGCAACAAATTCATCAACCATCAACATTCATAAAGTGTTCTTTACATTTTTTATACAGAGAACTGGGGTTTTTAAGTAAGAATCACCTAGATTGTATGGCAGAGCAAAGTTTTTACCAACTTTACGGATATGCATATAGATATGCATATAAATATGAAATTTTCTAACTCACTTTTTCCCTTTAAGATACTCTTGTATGGTATTTGACTGAAGTAGATTTTACGCAACCACATGAGCATACAACTACTAGATACCTCACTTCTTCACGGGAATGAAGAGTAGAAAAATGATCAGAAGTATTAGATAAATGAGTGAAATACAGATATTTGATATAGTACTCCCCACAAATCAATGTCTTATATGGGATTCGAAAAATGAACGAAAGACTTAAAAATTATAAACGTCAGATAGGTCTTTTTGGTGTATAAATTACTATATGAACCACAGGATATATAGTGTTGTATTTTAATCAACATTCTTCCATAGGAACTGGAACACACTGGACATGGTGATTTAAAAACGGATCAAAATATATATATTGTGATTATTATGAACTTCAACACCCCGAGAAATCGATTGAGTATTTACAAATATAAATTGACTAAAACATAGATGAACTACAAAAACGCGACACAGTAGTGTGTGAAAATATTTGTTTGAACGTTTTGAAAATGCTTTCAGATAGTCAACCGTTTGATGAAGTGACGTTTTGATTAAAATTATGAAAAAGAAAGATGGTAAATTAGTTTATAATTGTTAAAGACGAGCGAGCATTGTTACTCTTTTCCTGAACATCGATGGTAAAACGAATGCAAACCGGATTATGCAGAACCACTCAATTAGTAATATCTCCGAGCAAAATAAGGAGATACACCGATGAAGAAAGGCTAATATACAAAGAATTTGCTCGAATTAGTCGTAAACATGAAAACAAAATAATTAAAAAATTGTTAAAAGCATGTTATCGATGATTTCAGAAATCAAGGAAAACCTCGATGTGATTGTTCAATTGAAACTTACGGATAAACCTAAACAATCACTTACAACCGAAGATGACAAGATAGAGGTAAAAAAAACCCATCAAAGTCCTTTTCTACATACCAGGTGCAAACAGAAGTTAGGGAACTAATACCTATCATTTCTTATACCTATACCAAACCAATTGCAACTAAAATTTTCAATTACAAACGCGTGTTGCAGGATCTCAATATTGACGACTTCAAGTCTAAACCTCCTGATTGCACCTGTGCTAGTTCCCCATTCATATATAATCCGGCTGACCATGTTATTACTGGTGACCTAAACATTGTCAATAACACTTCTCTGCGAAATGTGTTATCCAAAGGCCCGAAATATCGTGAGCCTAAATCCATCAATTGGAAACACAACTTCAAAATACTGTTGGATTCAGTCGAGAATTATGCCAGGCAATGGGTTACACGCGAGAAAGAAGAAGTAGATACTCTTTCCGAATGGATTAAGGTTGTGAGGTCGTTAAAACAAATCAGAATTAAGACACTGAATGGTCTATTAATACCCATGCTACATCAATCTTTAAAGACCCAAATGTTGCTATACACTTGTCCTACCTCCATGACAAATATGTTGTTGTCCCCGCAGATAAAGCCCCAAACAACATCGTTTTTGTGTTTAAATCACATAACATAAACTGCTTGATAAATGAATTAGGTATTGACAATTCACTTGGAAACTCAACATATACCCCCACGACACTTACTAAAGAGGAAATCCTGGATAATCATAGGTCTGTTCTATGTTCCTTTGGAATCTTCAACCGAAGGTGAAGAACTGGATCTTCCATCACTGTATTGGATACCTAAACTACATAAGTGTCCTTACAAACAACGGTATATTGCTGGGTCTTCCAAGTGCTCCACGAAACCTCTTTCTAAATTATTAACATCAATTTTATCAGCAATCAAAGCCGGGCTTCAAAGTTATTGTAAAACTACCTATTCAAGAGGTGGCGTGAATCATATGTGGATACTAAAAAATTCCAAAGATCTTTTAGAGTACATACAATCTAAGACTCTTTCATCTTGCAATAATATTATAACATTTGACTTTTCTACAATTTACACAAGTATTCCCCATTCCAAACTAAAAGACAAATTGAAAGAGTTGGTCCTGCTTTGTTTCATAAAAAAGAATGGCCAACGTTGATACAAGTATAATGTCTTAGGGAGGGATAAATCCGACTTTGTAAAAAATCACTCTGATTCTAACAGAAAGTTCTCTGATAATGACATTATCAGGATGCTTGATTTCTTGATTGACAACATATTTGTTACGTTTGGAGGGCGTGTTTTTCAACAAGCAATCGGCATTCTCATGGGAACCAACTGTGCCCCTCTTCTTGACACTTGTTCCTTATTCATATGAGGCTGACTTCATACAGGAACTTCTTAGGAAGAAAGAAAAGAAGTTAGCAGTATCCTTTAACTTTACTTTCCGCTACATAGATGATGTTCTCTCACTAAATAATTCAAAATTTGGTCACTATGTTGAACGCATCTATACCATCGAACTTGAGATAAAGGATACAACAGATACAGTTAAGTCTGCCTCATATCTTAACTTACATCTAGAAATTAATAATGAGGGTCGGTTGAAAACAAAACTTTATGACAAAAGAGATGATTTCAGCTTCCCCAGCTCCCCAATTGTGAACTTTCCATTTTTATGTAGCAACATTCCAGCAGTATCTGCATACGGAGTATATATCTCCCAGTTGATACGATACTCCAGGGCTTGTATTTTCTATCATGATTTCCTTGATAGAGGGTTGCTGCTCACAAGGAAGCTATTAAACGTGTTGCTCAGTCTTCAGTTTTCTATGTTGTGTTTAGTGTACTATTATTTGCCTGTTTGTCTTTTTCTTTTTTAGCCATGACGTTTTCAGTTTATTTTCGACTTATGAGTTTGAATGCCCCTTTGGTATCTTTCGCCCCTCTTCTACTTGAGAAAAAATCCAGGGTGTTGTTCGGTTTAGTTTTTTTTTTAAATCAGGTCACCCTACCCCACCCATACGGAAAAGTTAATAAAAAATTCCCTACGGCAATAATTTTTTCCGCACTAGGTGCAAAGTGAAGCTGAGTAGCTGAGGTTTACTTGAGAAAAAATCCAGGGTGTGGTTCGGCTTAGTTTTTTTTTAAATCAGGTCCAAAGTTGGGGTCGGACACCCTACCCCACCCATACGGAAAAGTTAATAAAAAATTCCCTACGGCAATACTTTTTTCCGCACTAGGTGCAAAGTGAAGCTGAGTAGCTGAGGTTTACTTCAGAAAAAATCCAGGGTGTGGTTCGGCTTAGTTTTTTTTAAATCAGGTCCAAAGTTGGGGTCGGACACCCTACCCCACCCATACGGAAAAGTTAATAAAAAATTCCCTACGGCAATACTTTTTTCCGCACTAGGTGCAAAGTGAAGCTGAGTAGCTGAGGTTTACTTCAGAAAAAATCCAGGGTGTGGTTCGGCTTAGTTTTTTTTTTAAGCAGGTCCAAAGTTGGGGTCGAACACCCTACCCCACCCATACGGAAAAGTTAATAAAAAATTTCCCTACGGCAATACTTTTTTCCGCACTAGGTGCAAAGTGAAGCTGAGTAGCTGAGGTTTACTTCAGAAAAAATCCAGGGTGTGGTTCGGTTTAGTTTTTTTTTTTAATCAGGTCCAAAGTTGGGATCGGACACCCTACCCCACCCATACGGAAAAGTTAATAAAAAATTCCCTACGGCAATACTTTTTTCCGCACTAGGTGCAAAGTGAAGCTGAGTAGCTGAGGTTTACTTCAGAAAAAATCCAGGGTGTGGTTCGGCTTAGTTTTTTTTTAAATCAGGTCACCCTACCCCACCCATACGGAAAAGTTAATAAAAAATTCCCTACGGCAATACTTTTTTCCGCACTAGGTGCAAAGTGAAGCTGAGTAGTTGAGGTTTACTTCAGAAAAAATCCAGGATGTGGTTCGGTTTAGTTTTTTTTTTTAATCAGGTCCAAAGTTGGGGTCGGACACCCTACCCCACCCATACGGAAAAGTTAATAAAAAATTCCCTACGGCAATACTTTTTTCCGCACTAGGTGCAAAGTGAAGCTGAGTAGCTGAGGTTTACTTCAGAAAAAATCCAGGGTGTGGTTCGGCTTAGTTTTTTTTTTAATCAGGTCCAAAGTTGGGGTCCGACACCCTACCCCACCCATACGGAAAAGTTAATAAAAAATTCCCTACGGCAATACTTTTTTCCGCACTAGGTGCAAAGTGAAGCTGAGTAGCTGAGGTTTACTTCAGAAAAAATCCAGGGTGTGGTTCGGTTTAGTTTTTTTTTTAATCAGGTCCAAAGTTGGGGTCGGACACCCTACCCCACCCATACGGAAAAGTTAATAAAAAATTCCCTACGGCAATACTTTTTTCCGCACTAGGTGCAAAGTAAAGCTGAGTAGCTGAGGTTTACTTCAGAAAAAATCCAGGGTGTGGTTCGGCTTAGTTTTTTTTTTAATCAGGTCCAAAGTTGGGGTCGGACACCCTACCCCACCCATACGGAAAAGTTAATAAAAAATTCCCTACGGCAATACTTTTTTCCGCACTAGGTGCAAAGTGAAGCTGAGTAGCTGAGGTTTACTTCAGAAAAAATCCAGGGTGTGGTTCGGTTTAGTTTTTTTTTTAATCAGGTCCAAAGTTGGGGTCGGACACCCTACCCCAACCATACGGAAAAGTTAATAAAAAATTCCCTACGGCAATACTTTTTTCCGCACTAGATGCAAAGTGAAGCTGAGTAGCTGAGGTTTACTTCAGAAAAAATCCAGGGTGTGGTTCGGCTTAGTTTTTTTTTTAATCAGGTCCAAAGTTGGGATCGGACACCCTACCCCACCCATACGGAAAAGTTAATAAAACATTCCCTACGGCAATACTTTTTTCCGCACTAGGTGCAAACGGAAGCTTGTGACCTAGGGCCTGCTTGACCAAAATTCAAAATCGGGGTATAGCACGGATCTATTTTTTAAATAGATAATAATTAATTTCCTTGCCCACCATACTTTGTGTACAAAAAATAAACCTTTTGTCTAATCAAAAGTAAACTGGTTTAGAAATAGAATGTTTCGTTAAAACATATTTGTCTGATTAAAAAAATATTAAAGCACGAGCGCAACTTTCTATTCTTGTAATGCAGAACAATTTTAACTTTTCAGGAACTATTTGACAGGATGCCGAGAATATGGAAAGCCATTTGACACAATATCACAAAAATAATTTCTGATGTCTTAGTCGATTCCATGTGACAAGCAATTTTGCAAGCATTTCAATAATTTCATAATCAGGAAATGAAATTTTTAAATTCATTGAATAGTGTCTTCGACTGCTTAATTATATATTAAAAACTAATAGTATAGTAGTTATATATTAATAAAAACATTTTGAGTACGTTTGAATCTTATGCAACTTTTGGGTTCATAGACATATCCGAAAACTGGCTGCTAGCGTAGTGGCTGCTAGCGAGTGGCTGCTAGCTTGAGCCTGGTAACAATTCAATTGAGAAAACTACCGGCCTGATTTAAAACAAAACAATTTACGAAAAACAAATATAACAGATATGAACCAACGACAACAAGTGAACCACATGCTCCTGACATGGGACAGGCACATAAAGAATGAGTGCTCAACCCCTCCCCCTAAGCCTGGGACAGTGGTGCAACAGCACGACATAAAAACAACCTGGAAAAACCTTCCTTCACAGAGCTAGGTTTACACATATATACATATTTAAAGTAATTATGAATATTAAATTTGTTTTCAGCCGTGTATTACCTTCACTGGTGATCCTATGCACGGATATGTCGTAGAGTTTAACTTTATATATAAATATATATCTTTAAGGCGAGACAAAAATTGAAACTAAAAATTTTTGCTTACCTCAATCAATATGTTATAGTTTAAGAATCCACTTCTAATTGGACTAGTAAGAGTTGTCTTAATCCAAAAACAACTATGTTTATATGCAGATTAGTCATCTATTGCTAAATAATCAAGTACACCTTCCAAATTACAATCTATATATAACGAATTGGTGTACACATTTATTTACATATATCATTTTTAATCACAAAATTCTTTTTTTAATGTTAGTTGACTTTCATTTGAAAGAAAAGTGTATGTCAACAATTAAAATTGAAAGAAGTACAAGACCTGTATTATTTGTTTTTTAAAATCTACACATCCCTTTGTCGAACGTTTTCTCTGGGAAAAAAATCGGAGATTGTAAATAAACAAGATTAACTGCAGAAGAAGAGAACGTTTGAAATGATGCTTAATAAAGTATGATGCAATCCCAGTTATCAACTTTAACAAAGACAAATTCTGACTAATACTTTGAATTCGATATTTCTGAAATTGCTAGAAAAATCTCTGTCTAATAATAAATACCCTCGGAAATTAAATATTATAAAACATTAAGAGACGAAAGGAAAAAGGGACACCAATCTGATAACTAAAAAATAAAAGCATGTCAAATATTGAATAATAAAAGGTTCATTTGCAAAGTATATCGAAATACAAAGTCATGGTCAAAATCATGATAGAAGACTCAAATCAATTGTATGATAGGTAAAGATACGTGTATATACGTGGTCTTATGACAGTGAAGTTTTGGCGGGAATCTCAATAATCACGTGATATATAAAAATCATGATTTCTTTCGTTTTTCATCATCTTAGAAATACTTGATATTGATAAAATTATCATGAATGGGTTTAATAGTTTAGGAATATTTTTTTAAAACTTAAGTGACGCATTTAATAAAATTAATAGGTTAGCAATAACCGGTCTCGTTACGTGCGTACGTCGAGTTAGGTACGTATGTCATTTATTGGAAATCTCTAATAAGACTTAACTAGTTGCACTAAAATAAAAAAAAGTTGGAAAACTTAATTAAGTATGAATTTTAGGAGCATTGAAAACCAAAAATATTAAAAAATGTTGAGCAAATTCATACTATCTGAATAACAGGTTCACTGATAAGCTTTATGAATATTCAGAAAATGGATTGAGATAGTTTAGACAATAATGTTTACAATTTCCTCATATTCCGTGTACAAATCGTAATCAAATTATGTAAAAAAAATACAACCAAATATGTCCACTACTTTAATAATTATAAGAAAACATCAAATAATCAATTGTTCATTATATTCTTGGTGTTTATTAACAATTGAGAGAACTTTTTTTTGCATTTTTGTCATTTTTTCATGGGATAGGGGGTATATATTTCAATTTTGAGAATAATCGTGAACAACAAAGCTGACAACCTGAAAATGTTAAGTAAGCTCATAACCTGGGCTTTCATTTGATACCCTACATGAATATGTACTGAACTGTAGCATATTGGAAAAATTAGGCGTATGATATTCTATTCCAATTACCTTATGTCTACAATGTTTATTTTGGCGGCCATATTGGATTTTTTTTCGTGGTTCCATATCCAAAAATGTTCATTAACATCATAACTAACTTTGTACACATTTCTTATGATTTTATCATAAAGTGATCGATTATTCTGAAATCCGCTGGACTAACAGTTATGATTTGAAAACCGAGTAGTAAATAAATAAAACTTACTGTCAATTTCGTTTTTTAGATGAAATGACAACTAACATTCGCAAGATAAGATTCATGAGAAATAAGACAAATTTATGCATAAATGTCTGTAACAGGAAATACACTTTTTATTTTCTCTGTTCTTGAATTAATCGGAGTCACAATCATGTATTTTTATGATTTTCACCATTTGTTTGAACGGTTCAGAGATTTTTTGCTCTTGAGAACAGTCTGTAAAACTAGCTGGGTTAGGCCAGTAAAAAGTACCTAGTAAAATCAAGACAATGTTTATGAATTTTCATAAATGATAGTTTTTCAAGTCACTTATCAGTACGCTGTTTCTAATATGAATAGTCACTTATTTGTTATTGGATATTTATGACTATATGTTAGTGGACGTAAGGCAAGTTAAAAATAAATCAATCATCTTGGAAACTTAAAATATTTCGCCTGTGTGAGAAATCATTTATACCTTAAAATGTCCAACAGAAATAAAAACTAAACTAAGGTCATCTACAGTCAAAGGGGTAAGAAATCCTTAGTGATTCGAATTATTTAACATTTCATAAACAGTAAATTTACAAATAATAACCGTATTAATGATATTAAATAAAATTGAGAATGGAAATGGGGAATGTGTCAAAGAGACAACAACCCGACTAAAGAGCAGAAAACAGCCGAAGGCAACCAATGGGTCTTCAACACAGCGAGAAAATCCCGCACCCGAAGGCGGGTTTCAGCTGGCCCCTAAACAAAAATGTGTACTAGTTCAGTGAAAATGGACGTCATACTAAACTCCAAAACATATAAATGAACTAAAATTAAAAATCATACAAGACTAACAAAGGCCAGAGACTGCTGACTTGGGACAGGTGCAAAAATGCAGCGGGGTTAAACATGTTTAGTGAGATCTGAACCCTCCCCCTATACCTTTAGCCAATGTAGAAAAAACAAACGCACAGCAATACGCACAGTAAAACTCAGTTTAAAAGAAGTCCGAGTCCGATGTCAGAATAGATAACAAAAGAAACTAAGCAAAATGACAATGATACATAGATAACAACAGACTACTAGCAGTTACTGACATGCCAGCTCCAGACCTCAACTTAACTGTTTGAAAGATTATGTCTTCATCATATGAAAATCAAGCACAATCCCACCCGTTAGGGGTTTAGTATCATACCATCATAAAAAATATGAGAAGAACATAACCCGTATCATGCTTAAACCCGCTGCAATTGTTTGCACCTGTCCTAAGTCAGGAATCTGATGTTCAGTAGTTGTCGTTTGTTGATGTGGTTCATAAGTGTTTCTCGTTTCTCGTTTCTTATATAGATTAGACCGTTGGTTTTCCCGTTTGAATGGTTTTACACTAGTAATTTTTGGAGCCCTTTATGGCTTGCTGTTCGGTGTGAGCCAAGGCTCCGTGTTGAAGACAGTACTTTGACCTATAATGGTTTACTTTTATAAATTTTGACTAGGATGGAGAGTTGCCTCATTGGCACTCATACCACATCTTCTTATATCTATTCACAACTGGTTTTAGAAGAAATGTGTTTATTTCCGATGCAAAGACCCTATGAGTGTATCAATATTAATACCAAGATATGCCATCTTTAATGACCTGACAACAGTATCGTAACTATATCCCTTCTGAATAAGTCTGTTTAAAGGTTTGGTTAGCTTTTGAGGTGAATGCCGACATTTTTGTGCTTTGTAAAGAATATTAACATAAAAGATTGGATGTGAAATACCTGAAGGTATAAGATATCTGCATGTTGATTTATATTTACGAATCATGTCAACACAGAAGTATTCGCTACTAAGCTGGTGATACCCTCGGAATGAAACGCCTGCCAGCAGTGGTACGGACCCAGTGATTGTAACCTTTCCCAAAATACCACAGTTATTATTGTGTTCCCAATACGCGTTTTATTTTCCAAACATACTAAACATGTTGTTAAATTATAGAGAAATTGTTCTATCACTACAAGAAAGATAACTGTTTTGAAGATTTAAATACATCAAACTGATGCCACAAGGAGTGCAGTGTGTATAGTATACTGTTTAGGAGAAAGAGGCGGAAGATACCAAAGGTATAGTCAAACTCATAAGTTGGAAAATACATGACAATGTTTTGGCGTAAAACGGACAACGACCAAAAGACAAACAGCAGTCTACAAAACTAAAGGGTAAATGCCAAACCAAAATTTAAATTAAATGTAATTTGATTAGGGACTTTCCGTTTTGAATTTTCCTCGGAGGTCAGTATTTATTGATTTAACTTTTTGCATGTTATGATCAATAGCTTTGTGTCATAATCTACCAAGATTTTATAAGAGGGTACTTTCCGTATCACCTGGAACTAAAAAAATCTTCGTTTTAAAGTAACTAATGGGAATCTCTCTTGAACACTTAACTCAAAAACATCAAAATTGATCTTTACCTTATTCTATGGACAATGACTCCGCATTCTAATTTCAAGATTTTGTCAAGAGGTCCTTTCATCCAGAAATTTAAAGAAAAAGATTTTTATGTTAAATAAGGGGCATAACTCTTAATGAAAATGTCCAAATGATTGAAATCTAATATGACCTGTATTTAATGATCAAGACATGGTGTTCAAATTTCAAAGTATTTTATCAAATGGTACATGAATTATCATTTGAAATTAAATGAAAGTACAAACTTTAAAGGTAACTATGGATATATACCGGTAAATGCGAAAACCATCAAAATCGAACTTGACCTGTTTTTGATGGTACATGACATTGTGCTTCAGTTTCAAAAGATTTGCTCATTCGGGATTACAATTATCATCCCGTAAACGAAGAAAACCAAATTGTAAAGGCAAGCGTAGGGGCATAACTCTTGAACATTACATGTCAAACAATCAAAATCAAACTTGAATCTGATGTTCAGTAGTTGTCGTTTGTTGATGTGGTTCATAAGTGTTTCTCGTTTCACTTTTTATATATAGATTAGACCGTTGGTTTTCCCGTTTGAATGGTTTTACATTAGTCATTTTTTGGGGCCATTTATAGATTGCTGTTCGGAATGAGCCAATGCTCCGTGTTGAAGACCGTACTTTGACCTATAATGGTTTACTTTTACAAATTGTGACTTGGATTGAGAGTTGTCTCATTGGCACTCATACCACATCTTCTTATATCTATTGACCTGTACTTTATGATACATGACAATGCGCAAAAATTTAATTATCATCCGGAAACTAAACTGTGACGAACAAACGGACAGACTGACATTTGCAACATTATATTCCTCCGTCTGCGTAGCGGTGGAAAAAAGCCAAATCTGTCATTTATCTGTTTTATTGCATTAAATTATCAATTCATTTACGATTGAACCACATTGCACATATTGTGATATAATTATCGCCACAGGTGCGAACGGTCATGGTGTCGATTCAAGTCCGTGTCAAAAAAGCAATCTAAAATTGATATCGACTACTTCTTCGTTTAGCACTTGGCATTATGAAATAAGAGCAAAGACAGGTTAGGTCACACTCAGAATAATTTGTACTGTTTGACTGACATGTCTTTCCGGGGACGTTTTTCTAGTAAACCAGCACGTTATATATCTGGCTCTGCATGTTGGTCGAGAACAAATCAGGGTTAATATTCATATCGCAATGATATGTTATCGTTCTGATGTTGCGAATGATGGGTAAAACATAGAAACGATAAAATTAAATTACAGATTTTATATATTTGGTTTTGTCGAGTTTGGATAATGTGATTATTTTTAGGTGGTCCCACAATTCCTTCTCAAATTTGTATATAGTTTAGCCAAATACTAAATGTGCAATACTTTTGTGTTCAAAATCATTGTCTACGCTAAGAATGCAATGATACTACGAGTAAGATTTAATGTTAGTTGTTTAAGTATATTTATTTTGCGTCTAGTCTAACTTTCCAAATAAGATAAACACATAAGATCACAAACATATCCGTAGCAATCTAAACAAACCTTTGGCAATTTTTAACATCAAAATGACTTTTCAGTCATTTATTAAAAAAAGCAACACAATTTTACAATGTGTTTGTTATGAATAAACTAATAATAAAAATAAAACATTTTATTCGGTTGTTTTGCATGTTTGTGATGTATGTTTTCACAGTTTTTGTTGATTGATCCCAATTATCGTCACATCAACCAGTTATGTACGTTTGGGTTGCTCGCCCAATTATGTCAATATAACGGAACAATAAACAACTGTCATACAAATGGGAGGTTTAGCTAACTATAAAACCAGGTTTAACTCACCATTTTCTTCGAGAAATGCCTGTACTAAATTAGGAATATGACAGTTGTTTCCCATTCAATATAGTCTAACGTATGCATTTGTCATCAGGTTTTATTGACTTCCCGATTTCTGAATTTACCTTAGATTTAGGTATTTTTGTTAATACATTTTTTTTCAAAAGCAATAGAATACACGTTGTTATAATAAATATTAGACGCATCAGTGTCGTTATTATAACAAACATTGTACAATGTTGGGATATATCCATATGGCGGATAATGAAAATAATCAATTGATAACTACGGAATAAAATCTATATATTACGGATGTTTCGGCATGCAACAAACTTTACCTATATTATAAAGTTTTCTTTTAAATTGTGAACAGTGTACAGTAAACTTGAAACTTTTTGCCTATTATATATAAAAAATAAGCATAATTAATTTTCAGTTGAAACAAAAAAAATAATCTTTGTATTCATGGTATTACGTGTATGTAGTGAACTAAAAAGACATAACCTCTTTGGTTGATGTTCATTCATTATAGGCTTATATCAGATCTAGACATACACAACTATTTTCTAAAGTAAACAGTTTTATCATGAAGACATACAAAAGTGCAGCGCAGAATTTGACTCCGTTGTCATTAATTTATTGCGCGAATGATTTCCTGCATAGGTGTAACCAGTGATAATCCTGACTTCGAACAGAAGGCAATTGCCATACCGACACATCCAGATTTCTCTTTCGTGTCTCCAGTGATGTAAATACATGTTCCTGAATCCCCCAGTTGGAGTGGAATGTTCATAACCATTTGATTGTACATTGTAAAAATCCGCTTCTCGGTCAGAGTCCGACTTGTAGTTGCATGTGAGCAGGTTGAGTGATTAATAGTGGATGAAAGGTTAACCCATTTGCATGACCAATAAACTGACCATTATCTTGAAAACATACGTCGGTATGTGTTGGTCGCTGGAATGTCACTTTATCGTCTATTTTTGTAGATGCACCTTGAGCAACAATCGGCACAGTTTCTCTGGTACAACACAATTTCATATGATCGCAGGAATGCCGATTCACGAATTCTGAAGTTAGTTCTGAAAGATAAGCATAAAAAACATTATTTTGTCTCATTTTCTCATTGTTGAAGGCTTTAAAGTATTGAAATAGATATTTGTATTTAGGTGTTTGCTGGATGATTGTCCCATGAGTGATCATACTACTTCCATTTTTATTGACACGATACCCTTTCTAAGTTGATATTGAAAGAACGAAAATGAACAAAAAAGGAGTCGTTAAATTGACAGCAAAACAGTTTTTTGGTTTATTTTGAAAGCGCTTTCAGATTTGTTTAACCTGACACGTGCTGTGTCTATTTTCCAATCTCTCAAAGCTGTAAACCCTTAATGGCAATAGCAAAAATTGGCAATTTCGATTTTGACCTCCATATTTGTCATAAAAAACAACATTGTACCACATGAAAATCTTTGATTGAACGATCTACATGTTATTTCTGAGAAATGACATAACACGCACACGCCAATTTTTAATCTATCAGTAATCCTGAATCGTAAACATAAAATTCGTCAATATCGATATTGATCTTCTCTTTGTCATCAGAAAGATCATATCAAAATCTTAAAAGTGTTTGTGGAACGGATTATAAATGTTTGCACAAATGCCAACAGCATGCCATTTTCCATCTATCAAGGACCAGCTATCAACTCCTAAACAGTAAAAGTGAAAATCATATCTAACTTGACTTCCATTTTGTTATCAGTAACAATATATCAAAATTTAAAAAGCATTTATGGAACAATTCATAAGCTAATTTGATATATCTTTCTTATGAAAGAGAAAGGCGGAAGATACTTAAGGGGTATTCAATCTCATAAGTCGATTACAAACTGACAACGTCATGACAAAAAAATAACAAACGGCCTAAACACACACAATAGTATACCAAACACAAAATAAAATCTTAAGACTGAGCAACACGAACCCTACTGAAAACTGGCGGTCATCAGTTAAATGGAATCACTAAACAGCATTGGTATTGCTAGAAGGATATCGGGTGACCATATGTTTATTCTTCAGTTCATTGTGTAGCATCACCTTCGGATACAGGTACCCCCGAAGCAAAGAAACAATGATAACAAAAGTAGCTATTCTAATCCCCGCACAATAAACAACTATTCGCTGCTATTCGTCGTACAACTTTCTTTCTTAACATGAATTTCTCTGTGTAAACGATAGTTTGATTTTGTCAGTTATTATCGACTTTCCATTTTTGAATTTGTCTTGGAGTTCGGTAAATTTGTTATACTTTTTTTCTTTTCTAACATTTGAGAAGTTACTCCTCAGAAAACAATATTAAAGAACAAAAAGAAACAAAAATTGCCAAATAAACTTTTGTTAGAAATAAAGGTTAAGCATCAATATGTGAACAATGGTATACATGGGGGTAATACTATTAGAAATCTTTTACTTAAGACCATAAAATAGATTTGGTAAAAATAGTATACTTAAGCTGCTGGCTGGATGAGGAGCCCCATTGATGTCTCGTACAATATCGTTAGGATCGATGAAAAAGTCAGACGGTTTTATTATGACTAAGCCTGCATCCACACTGGTTTTGTTAGGATCATCATGGTTGAAAACTCCACGGAAAACGTCACCACAATGACTTTTACTTTTCTGACGATCCAAAAAAACTTTAATTTCCTCGTCATAACTAGGGTCATCTTTAGGAGCTAACAAGGTTGGAAGGCTGTATAACACATGGGCACATGTCAAAAAGCATTTAAACTTTCCTGCAATTCGATAAAAACCTCCCAAAGTTCCACACATAGTATCAGTGCCTATTTTATCTCCTATTCGTAACGGGGTTGAGGCCAAATAGCTATGGCCTTGCAAAACATCTGTTAGTTGGCCTTTGATGATCGATGGAAAATGGTTTTCACCGAGAGGAATGTACCCTTTTCTTTTACAAAATAGTTGAATGCAAAATGTTTGTGAAACTTTATGATCAAAACCATAATTTGTAGACTTCATGAATGAAGGACAAATCAAAGATAGATTTCTGTGTTGTTCAAACATTGTTGATGCAATTTGACCATCGATTTGATTCATTAGTAGACTGCTCGAAGAAGACCCATTATTGTCTGATATTTTTGACATAATATCTTTCATTTCGTCAGTCGCTGCATTTCCTGTTTTACAAACGTTATCACAGCTGAATAATTTTATATCAAAATAAAAAAATGCAGCCGGCATACAAGAACGTTCATTTCCTTTCCATTCAATAGCTATTATCTTTTTTCCTGTAAGCAAACATACTTTTTTCGTACATGCATTGTGACATTCGCACTTATATGCTGGATATATGTCGATGGCATTGTCATCCAATAACTTTTTATATTTCTTGTAGAATTGTCTTGTAACTTTCCAAGCCAAGGTTTTAATTGTTCCATTATTTCCAACTTCAAAAGATTTAGACAATACTTGAACGATACATTCGTCTTCATACTGAAAGTGAGACAATAACCAACGGCAAACAAATGATAATTTGTTCTCAACAGCAGTAAGCAGTATTTCTTTGAATAAAAGTGATTCATGATGAGCGTTCATTAATGAGATAATTATCAAATACTCTGATTTCATTTTCCACTCAATTGTTATTTCATCTAATTTATAAAACAACTCTGAAAAACAAAGTATATCATTACCAGATTACATTATTCATATGTATGTAAATTAATACATTTGTAGTAAAAGTCGATGAGACTGCAACCTCACAACCCGGCAACAATATCATCAAAAGATATCTAGAGGCCAAAAAATCGTCTTTTAGTAATCGAAAATTTTCTATAAAATATGTCATGCTCTTAATCTATCGCGTCTGCAAATCATCCAAATAACAAAACATTAAGACTGATGTACTAAATTAAATTACCTTCGATGAGATTTGAGACATGGTGGCCACACAAACTCATGTAGCACAGTTTTTAAATTTCACTCCCATTGTTATCTTAGTCGGTAAACAAAATAAAACGTACATACATGTTTTTTCCTTAAGAATTAGTACGGGAAAAGGAGTACACTAAGTGAGATAGCAATGACAATAATGCAAATATCTGTTTAAACCTTGAATACATTAATGGAATAATCCGTATATTGCTTTCATATCAATATTTCATATTTTGTTTATTAGATATAAACGGAAGTGTTCCTGGAATTGTCCCTAAAATTCTAGTATCTGCATATCCTGAATGTTTATTAAATGCTGAATTATACTGAGATATGATAAATTTGATAGGTAACCAGATGACATAGCCATCAACTCGTAGTCGAGTGTTTTTTTAAGAAATGCACGTATTTTCGATTAAACCACTAAGAACCCTTGTTGGTAATATTCCTCCTAACCTGATTTATATCCTGATAAAAACGTAGTATCAGCCGGTAGATATGAGGTGGTTAATTCTATGTATAGTTCAGATTAAAAAAAAAGCCGTTTATTATCATTTTGCGTGTTCCAAATGTGTCAAATGTGCATTTGTAATGGATGACTAAATGCGTCCAGGATAGTAACTTCTATATGGGTCATCTAAAAATGTCAAGGTAAGTACATGAAAATGCAAATTTTGATATATTGAACATTTTTTCTATTCAAAATTTACTGTTTTCACTATATAAGCAGAAAATGGTTGAAAAATATAATTCAAGGGCCGTAACTCCTATATCAGTGATTTTGACAATATTTTCATTTTTATTTCCGATTGTTGATAACTTCACTTTCAGTGTAAATATTTGCATATATAATTCGGACAAGAACAAAAAATAATTGATTCAGTAGGTAGGTTTTGCAAGGTGTACCAGCCCTGATGAAAGGTGGGAAATTTAACATTCAGAGAGCGTGTCAGTCTCCATACATGAGTCATCGGATTTTGTGACTTTTAGTACATCGGGGATATTTTTATTTGGAATGACTCAAATGTAAAATATCTTTCTGAAGACTGACTGACCCTTTTCCACTTTTGGATTTGTTCCAACTGAAACATCTTCCGAATTCAGCACTAACAGAGTTTTGTGGTTATGATAGGCAAGTAAAAACATTCTATTCCTTAGGAGAAAATTCGTATATGACCATTTGGTGTCCAATGTCATGAGAGAAAGGTTCCCACGGTTTGTCATAAACGATGAAAATAATGATGTTCGATAAAAATTATAATTACATTAGATAAAACAAAAACTAAACATATAAAGGGGAATAAGTTCTTTGCGTCTTGTGATGAAAAATAAATATAAGGGGTAAGGGGCATTAACTACGATTTAGACAAAAAAATTATAGTGAGATATATATAAATATATTGATAATGAATGCTATTACTAACTTTTGTTTCAGTGTTGTAAAAAATAAACTGAAAAACCTCACTGTTGTATAGAGTTATCTTGCAAGACAATAATTCGACCTCGTTTGAGTTCGTATGCATGCATTTGAAAACAAAATTGACGCTTAGTTGGAGAAAGTTTGCGCTTGTCAGTCGTGATTTATTATTTTTTTTATTTGGCCTTGATCACAGTTTTGATTCGAGCGCCACCGAGGAGTGTAATATAGACGGAATAACAAATTTTAAGCTTGGTTTGATGAGTTTTATTTGTTTGTATCAAACAAAATTATGAAAACTGACATTATTCTGCTGCTCGTTCTTACATTCTTTTGGATTGATGTTTACCTGTCTGTTCATATTTATAATTTTAACAAAGTCATTTAATAGTCGACATTTTTTTTATATAATTTTAACAAAGTCATTCAATAGAAGACATTTTTCTTGGGTCATATCGAAGGGGAATTAGATAACTTTCAGTCGGGAATACACATAAATGTTGATACTTTATAATTGAAGTACTGAATTAGGTTTAGTAAATATATATAATCAAATTTGAGAGTTTGAATCAATTTGGTGGGTACGGTATTGGTAGCCTATATCCCTTTAACAATGTATGTATACAAAACATTTATAAGCATTTAACGATATAAATACACTTGCCGTGAACAGTTACGTTAGAAGTGGAATTTTGGACTTTTGGACCATTGCAAAGTTTCATATGTAGTCTAACGTCAACAAAACACAGTATATTGATTCCATTACAATTTAAATCTCAAATAGCAAAATTATCTGTAACAAAATTTTGAAAAGGAGTAGGGGCATTAAGGCTCGGTTTTGGCCCAAGAAAATAAAATGTTTGACAACTACACCAAATTGGCACATTATGTTAGGAAATGCATAGAGTCAAGAAATATAAATGAAAACATAAGATTTTTTATCTGATGACGTCACAATTACGTTATGATATGTATCGTTTTCGTGAAAATGACGAAAAATACAGAATTTAAGCAGTTTTTCATCGTTATTGCCATTGTGGAAACATCATGCGCAACTAAGAAACAACAAAATAATTTAAGAGAAGCTTTTTCATAACTATTGACATAATCTCACCAAATATAAAGTTGTTTCTTGGATGCGCACATACTTTGCCAATCTCAAATATACTTAAAATTTGATGAAAAACAAGGAAAATCAAGAAATTTTACAAAATACAAGAATTTCGTCATGGTTTGTTACCATGGTTACTCGATCAATGTCAAATTTGTTTTTATTTTCTGAATACCTCGTACCTTAGTCTAGTTAGGACAAATTTAAGAATATGTAGGATAACTTTTAAATTTGCAGTAATATTTGGGCCAAATAATGGCCTTATTGCCCCTACTCCTTTGAGACAAAAGAATCTTAGTTGTACAAAGCAGTTTACAAAATGTGGTTTATATAGTTGCTTACCTTTTACGTCAATTGGTCTCTGATGGAAAGCTGTGTCATTGGTAATTCTTTATATTTTTTATATTTTTTGGTTTTTATAGTTATGACTGTGGTTTGGATTGTTACAACCGTTTCAAATAAGTTGCATACATTTGCGTTGTCTTTTTTTTTTTTTTTTGGAGATTTCTGGGTTCGAGAGCTCGGAACCGCGACTCTTCACGGATGCAACGACAAAATTGATGGTGTAGATAATTTGTCAAGTTCCAGGTGAAGTGATCTCAATATATTAAATTTAGTTACAACTCTTTTCGATCTTATAAGGGTCACGGTCGTCGAAAATATGCACCACCTGCAGATAACATTATGTCTATGGATGGATTTTTATCTTAGGTTTTAAAACTTTTGGGAATTCAAATAGAACAAATTTGTTTTCCATACCATTGGCAAAGCTCATCTAACTATTTCAAGAATTGCAAAACACTTCCAATATTAGTTTAAATTTTGTAAAGTACTATGGGTATTGTTATCCACAGACGTTTTGAACATGTGACAAATATCTCCAAGAATGAAGAATTTTTTTGTACCATCTGTACTTTACGTAGTTTTTTAAAACATATGTTTCGCTAATAAGAGTTTCAATACTATCAATATTAGCACATTTTCATTAAAGCTGTGCAGAACACAAAACCTGGTTACTTAATCTGTCATTTCATTTGCCTACACAAGACCTATAGCGACCAATATTTTAAACCATTAGGTTACAAGAGAGACCTTTACATTCGTTTGTAAAATCCAAAACCTCTCTATTATTCTTTTTTTTATCGTCCCAATAATTCCTTTAAAAGTTTGCATTGTAAACAATGAACATCTTGCATAATTGTTAGCCAATTGCCAGAAATATCGAATTCCTCTGCCTTTCAACTGCAACTTCAGGTTACACATTGATGTAGTTGAAGACAATTAATGCCAGAAAAAATGGTAAAGCGTAAGCCAGATGAAATAAAACTAGACACATCGTCTATACCGCTGTTCGGTCATGCTTACTTAAGACCATTAAAAAAAACGGGCAAAGAGCACACGAATCTCTAACCCTTTCTATATGACCACGGTTAAGGATTTTTATCCTCTTTTTACGACAAATATGACGTTAATTCAGCAGAAAAAGCTCGAAACAATACTGTTTTTAATACAACAAAATCATTATTTGGAATATCAAACTCGATATTCGAAGTAAAACTCTGAATCTCACACATACCTATACATCATCCACGAAAGAGGCGATTTTACAAAATTACAACCCGTCCTTCTCTCCTTTGGTTATAACTTACAGATGGGCGATGATAATTGTCGATCGTAATACTGGATATCTAAACTTCCCAAAAATTCTGATAAAGAACAGTAAATAGCCGGGTCATCAAGATGTTCGACTTAAAATCTGTATAAAGTCATTAAATGTCATGATTAGTTATATTTAACAAGCCCTGTCAATCAGATGTAGATTCAAAAATAATCTCAGAATCTGCTGGAAAATCTTCAATCATATTCCTTACAATATTAAAGTAATACTCTTATTCCCCATGCTCAATTGAAAGATCGACTAGTCTTCTCATTAAACAGAGCTCTTCTACAAAAATGGAAATCACAGATACAAAATTGATTGTGGTCATGACAAATATTTCCTTGTGAAGGAGCCCACTAATTCCATATACAAATAAACCGAAGATCATCAAAATACTGGACTTTTTGATTGACAGCCTGTTTGTTGAACGTGGTGAATTGATATTTTAGCAGACAGTCGGTTTTCCAATGGGTGATAGATGTGTACCACTACTGCCCGACTTGTTTTTGTACCCATATGCAGCACAGTTCCCACAGAAACTTCTTTTCGACAAGAAGCACGAACAGCACGCAAAGTTCCTTAATTTCACTTTTAGATATATAGATGATGTCATGTCACTCAATCACTCACATTTCGGTAAGTGCTTGCATCTAATGTATCCCAGTGAATATGAGATAACCAAAACTAGAAGATCTACTTCATATTTTGATATTTCCCTGGATATAGACACAGATGGATGACTACAAAAAAGAATCTATGACAAACGGGATGATTTCTACTTTTAAATTATTAACTTCCAATTTCTTCAGTAGTATCTTACTCTCTATCCCATCGTATGTGTTTACATATCTGAATAGATACGTTACATTTGTGCGTATTCCCACTATACGGCCTACATTAATTTGGGTGTCTTCCTTACACAAATACTTCTCCAAAAGAGACAGAATGATTGACATGGCAATGATTAACGGACTATCACAAATTTAACAAGATGTCTTATTCCTGATTGTGACATGTACTAAGAACTTGCTTAAAAAGTATGGCATCCTCGAGTTTCGTCTTTGTAATATTAATGGATCAGTATTTCAGCATAAAGATTCAAACTATGTTCTTTTCAATTCAGTAAAAGTAATCGTACGCAAATACATAATTTTGGTTGTGATTTAAAAAACAAAGTTTTATGAACGTATCGTTATAAAGGATTAGAATAAAACATGCATGGCAAAAGTGTTTACCTCAGAACAAAGGACGCAATTTGTTAGTTGAAATAAGAAAGGTTAAGATCAAATTGATTTTATAGATCTGATTATCCGTAAGTGTTTTATGTGTAACGAAACAGTACACAACTACTTACCATTTATGGCCACCTTGTCATCGTTAACTGTTCTTTGTAAGTAGTCCTTGTAATTATTTATAAGTCGTTTATCCACAAAACAGTGCAAATGAGTACCATCACAAATTAAATCAACTGTTGCAAGATCTCCTACAATAAATATGAAGTTTATACACGAAAACAAAGAAGTCTTCAAATGAATAAAATCATTATATAATAATAATACATTTCAAAAGAATTTATTATAAACTATTATTTTCATGTAATGAAAAGCCATTCATGATGTTGTACAATGAAAAATAAGTTCATGCAATTCTTCAAAACATAATTTAGGCAAGATTGTATAAACAACTTACCAAAGTTATTTTCTCCCCCTTAAATGATCTGCTACGATGTTTACATTGCAAAGAAGGTAAAATTGGTTTTCAAGACAACATTTGATTTATGATACATAGAACCACTAATTCGGGACTGGTCGCAAAGAACATACAAGAAAGCAATAAATATTTTGAACAAAATAATATCCTATGCATAGCTGTCACTTTGTCAAAAAGAAAAACATTTGGGAAATTTCGGTATCAAATGAAAGTGTAAGGACTTTGGATCACTGTAGAACCCTTGTTAAAAGCTTCTCTTGAATAATAAAATAAATATATGAAATTTTGATAGGAGGCTCAGATCAGAAGTATCTGTTTTTGTACTAACCAACTTCCGGGAATAAGTGAGCTCTAATAGAGATTTCCAATAAAATGACATACGTACGTAACTCGACGTACGGACCTAATGGGACTGGTTATTGCCAACTATTGAATTTGATTTAATACGTCGCTCAAGTATTCCAAGACTTTTAAAATCACACACTAGAATTTTCGTCCATATAGAATAATTTTATCATGACGAAAAATGATAGAAATCTTGCATTTTTATTTATCAAGTCGTTTTCCAGATTCCCACCTTTATTTTCACTGACATAAGATCACGTATAAACACATGTATCCCATACCTTTTATACGTACGATTTCAGTTATCTTTCATAGTTTTGATTATGACAATTATTTTTCAATATACTTTGCAGATGAACGCCCCATTATACTTTTTTCTGTCTTTCCTAATCTATCTTTTTATTATATTTGTTGCGGGGAAAATATTTAGAAGGATATTTTTCTGACAATTTCAGAAATATTGAAACCAGAGTTTGTTCTGTATTGTCTTGTTTAACGGGAATTCTATCGGAGTCCAAATACAAAGACATTTCTAGGCATTCTTTTTTATATCCTTTGAAGAAGTAAATTAACTTACAGTATTTTATCCATTTTATTGATAAACAATTAAAAGGGGCACCGAATTCATTTTACTGAATAAATCATTACCGGAAATGTGTTAGGTAAGTAACACTGAACAACATAATATAATAAGATTTCGTTGCCAGATGCGGATCAAGGCTTTCAAAAAAAAAGGGGGGGGGGGGGGGGGTGGGGGTGATAAAGGCAACGTTAGAAGTTGAACATAAAATATAAGTATTAATAGGATGAAAGGACGCTTAATATATAAGTGTTCGTTGCATATGTATTTTACATATGCATATTTAGGACGAGAAGATGAATATGAACCAGACTTTGTATTAAACCGCAGGAAGACATGTCATCCTACCCGCACACATGATTTTGACTCCGAACCGACCAATCTTTGCTCTAACTCAAAATATTGTGTGCTTGGTAGGGAGGCAGCCAATATTCGATTTGAAACGGGCGAGGACCGAGCCAGACTTCCCGCACTCAAGCAGTGGTGTAACTTTCATTGACGCAATGAGGCAACCGCCTCACCAAATTTTTGACCATTAAAAAGAGAGATAAAGAGAATTATATACCGTGCACTTCATAGTATAAAGTAAACTGAGTGACGACGGTTCAAACCGTTGACTGCTTAAATCTTTACTCACTCATTCCTCATTATTAACGTCTTGAAAACTTTTTCTTTCATAAAATGAACAAGGTAGATGCAAATATCTTTTTAAAGTAACATACAAAGTATACCTCGCAAAAAAACTGATTCAAGCAAGAGGTCATAACTTGTGAAACTGATATGATGCTTGATTTTTTTTTGACAACGAACTTGATACTTTTGGTGGACATAATTTTCAACAGACACTTGGTACTCCTACAGTTAATGTAGTACTCTTCTACCTTGGTTAATATAAGCAAGACTTCATAGTTCACCCAGTTATTATAATCCATTTTGACAAAAGCTAAACGTATAAAGTTAAAAGACATAGCGGATCTTGAACGTAATTTCCCCAAATCTGTACGAAAACATTTTAGAGTAGGTCATACAAATAATTTTGTCAATTATTTTTGTTTTGATCAGGACCTGTCTGTAACTGAATACTGAGAATTAAACCTTTAACCAGCAGTTTCATTGAAATATATTGACTAAATGCGCACTAGGAAATATCATTTCATGATAAAATTCCTAAATTTCTTGATTTTTCATAGACAGGATCTTTTTGCCAGTGTGTGACCTCTCAAGAGTATGATCACCTACACCTATTTTGCGATTCATATTTTCAATTAACCGTCCACTCCCTATTGGCATTGACGTCTTTTAACAAGGTGAGGCTTTGACTGCCAAGATTCAAATCATTTCCTTCACCAGAAATAAAATTTCAAGTTTCGGTACTGTCAATTGATTGATAGTTGGTTGCTTAACGTCCAGTGGCAAATATTTCATGCATAATTAACGTGCAGAGAGCGTGGCATTCTCTCTACAAGAGGCATTGGATTTAACGTCCCCACTCTGATCGGACGGGATTTTCTACTTGAACATCCCGCACAGCCAAACGGACTTCCCACTTTGTCAATAGTTTATAAATTGCCGATCGGAACAAGACCAACAGTGACCATATTTCTATTCCCCGATCACCCTTGAGGGGTTACTGTCGAGGCGAGCTATCACAAGACCAAAGAGACACTTATGAATGTACATGTATTAATCAAAACATTTGTTGCCTTAAGACACCATGTCCCTTCACACGATCATATTTCCATGTTCAGTGCACCACTTAATCCGAGTCAAACTCTAATTGGGTATATAATTTTAAACGTTTTATATTTTGAACAAAACGGAAGAACGGACGGATGCACATACCAGTAAATATAATATCCCTTTGCTATCATAAGTTGGTCATAAAACTCAAATGATCATCATACTTAACAAAACTTCAATTTAAAAATTCCGTACATGTCCGTTTTTCATACGTATTAGTATAAGTTAAACGCCAAACAATTTAGAAAAACAATTTAAGAGCAATGACGTTAAATTACACATACGTTTGTACGGGCTCTCCCTAGAAACCATGCATGATTATAATTAAAGACAAGATATAAAAACATTAACGGATTCAGTAAAGTGTAATCATATTGATCACTGAAATAAATTATAGAAGTATGCTAAAAAGAATGAAGAAGAAGCAAATCGTGTACACCTTTTACATTCCGGCGTGTTTGAAACTCTGGTTTTAATCTTTATAACTTTTAAATCAAAAATGAGAATATGATCTCGCTTCAGATTCCATTATCTTTATTTTTTTCAAACTTAATTTTGATGTAGTAGCTTTAAGAATTCATCGTTTGAAAAATATGTATATGGGTCAAGTGAAATGACGAAGTAATGATCGGTGCATTTGATTACCGGTAACTTAATTAATTATGTCCTCGAAAGGTTGTTATCAATGAAATTATTCCAAATTTAATAACAAAATAAGTCAAGAATTAAAATAGCAGTTTGTGCTAATTTTCAAGTAGCATCTATTCCAACAAAGTATGTGTATTCAACGAGCCAAAAATTTATGCAGTCTATGCTCCCCTCCGTCATCCTTCAATGCAAAAGGCCAAGATACGGTCAGATAGGTTGGTTATTATTGATGCGCAATGATTAGAAACACGGTATTGGCAGTATTTGGCCACAGCTTTATTATAAAATTATAAACACATATAACTAGGTAAACAGTTAAGATATATATATGTAAAGTAAATAGATATTTCGATGAACGTAGTCACCTTTCATATTGGCAAACTACGACACGATAACTAGATAACTAAATAGATAAATAATTAAGATATATATATAGTAAATAGATAATTAATTAAACGTAGTCACCTTTCATATTGGCAGACTACAAAAAGATAACTAGATAGATAGATAGATAACTAGATAACTAATTATTTACAATAAATAAAGCATCCAATTAAATGAATCCTGGGAAACAGAGATTCGTAAATTTTTGTGTGGTGGTCCTGGGATACAGAGACCCACAATATCAAATGTTTTGGATGCTAAATGAAATATGACGCCAAATGACGCATATTTAAAGGAAACGCAGCGAAATGTGCCAAATTGACCAAGACAGTCATAAATGACTGTCGGGTCAACCGCCATTAAAAGCGGATAGAGCTGCGTAGAAGCTGTGAGCCAAATACAATATAAAGGACTCATATATTTAAACCCTAACAATAACTGAATTCTAATGAATATCATGCAATTTCTTAATACACATTGTGGAAAGTATGTGGTGTGTAGACAAGAAAGGCTTCTACCGCGCCTTGAAATGTGGTAAGCAAAATGTATTACCAATATGAGTCAAATGTTCACCATCTTGGCATTTAAATATGGAATTGGGAGATACATCGGAGTATCGTATGTATTGATTGCAATATCCCCCTTGACGAATGATCAAACTAGCCAGCCAGCTGATTGTCCTCTTTCTGGTTCTAATCATTGTTGCTGTTACTACGGAATAATGTCATGTTTATTTGGCAAACTTAAGACCACAACAATCTGATATTCAGTAAAAGAACAGAAACTATATTCACAGTATTTTCCCACATCTTATATGTTTTTTCCCACTTCTTATATGTTATACTCCTGTCGTATTGTCAATTCAATCAATTCCGCGTATCTACATATGTGTAAAATTAGAGATATTGAAAACTGAATTCCAGTTTAATCTTGTACAAGATGAATGCCACCTGGTATATTCCAAACTTGAATAAATTCGTTTTCTACAAAGGTGGAAACCAAACTCTAATGATTACTGGCGAAACTGCTAATCTTACATAACGGTTAGTATTACTAAAGTAATTGCAAGTTCTAAA